CCTTTCCCTTCTTCACCACCCCGTCTACTGTGCTGACAGCTTCAGGATTTATGGACTTGGATATCAAGGTCCCTTTATTCCTCAGTATTCCCTAGGGACCTACCATTCATTTTATATATCCTTCCCTTATTAGACCTCCAAAAATGCATCACCGAACACTTTTCAGGATTAAATTCCACCTGCTTTGCTCTGCCCAATTTGTCAGCTGATCAATATCAGACTTTTGCCTGGGACCATCCTCCTCACTATTAACAACACTACTAGTTTTCAGGTCATCTGCAAGCTTACTAATTATACCTTCTACATTCACATCCAAGACATTAATGTACATAACAAACAACAAGGATCCCAGCACCAATCCCTGTGGTACACCACTGGTCACATGTTTCCAATCACAAAAACAACCTTCGATCAACACTCTTTACATCCTATTTGAAAGCCAATTTTGGACCCAGTTTGCCAACTTGCCTTGGATTCCATGGGCTCTTACCTTTTGAACCAGCCTTCCATGTGGAACCTTGTCAAAGGCCTTAAGTCCACATAAACCATATCAACTGCACCAACTTCATCAATATATTTAGTCATCTTTCAAAAAACTCAATTAAACTAGTCAGACAGGATCTCCCTCTGTGCTGACTACCCCGATCAATCCCTACATTACCAAGTGTCAATTAATCCAATCCCTCAGAATCTTTTCCAATAATTTCCCTACCACTGACATCTGACTAACTGGACTGTAATTACCTGGCCTATACCTGCTGCTCTTCTTGAACAAAGGAGTCGCATTAGCTATCCTCTAGTCACCTGCCACTTCTGTGGCCGGTGAAATGTTAAATATCTCCTCCAGGGCCCCAGCAATCTCCTCACTTACCTCCCATAGCAGCTGGGATACTTCTTAACGGGCCTTGGGGAATTTTGCACCTTTATGCCCATTGAAATATCTAATACCTCCTCCTTATTAAATTTAACAAGCTCCAGAACGTTGCCATTCCAAATGAATTCCTCAGCTATAATGTACAATCCCTACCGTGCAGAAAGAGACCATTTGGCCCATTGAGTCTGCATCAACCTTCCAAACTGCACCCCACCCAGAACCAGCTTCCCCATCCCCGTAACCCCGTTACATTTACCACGGATCATCCACCTAGCCTGCGCAAATTTAATATGGCCAATCCTCCTAATCCGCACATCTTTGGACTATGGGAGGAAACCGGAGCACCCAGCAGAAAGTTCATGGCTAGAGAGGAATTTGGGATTAAGGATCTAGTTGTCTTCATCCACATTAGTACCAATGTATTAGGATTAGAAAGGAGATTTGAACAGTTAGAAGCTAGATTAAAAAGCAAAACCTCCAAAGTAATAACCTTAGATTACTACCCAAATCATGGGCAAACTGTCATAGCGCAAACAAAGTCCTGGAATTAAATGCATGGCTCAAAGATTGGTTTGGGTGGAATGGATTTCAGTCTGTGAGCACTGGTAGCAGTACTGGGATAGAGGGGAGCTGTTCTGATGAGACAGGCTCCACTTGAACTGTGCTGAGACTAGTGTCAGGGCTGTCTAGAGGGCTTTAAACCAATTAGAGAGGGGAGGGTTTGGAAGAACGGAAATGTGGGCGTACAAAGGAAAAGCATTTGGCAGCATGACAGGGCAGCTATTTGGAAAAAGGATACCCAAAGTGTGACAGGAAGGGACAGAGTATACAAATATAGAAAAACAGCTGTAAATAAGGTTAAATGAGGAAAACATAAAAGGGGCAAATTAATGCCTCTTTACTGAAATTTGCATGATGTTCAGAACAAATTAGATTCTTTAATGCCACAAATAGAGGTTAATGGTTATGATCTTATAGCCATTACAGAGATATGGTTACAAGGAGGTGAAAGCTGGGAACTAAATATTCAGGAATATATGACTTGAAAGGACAGGCAGGAAGAAAAGGATCAGTTCTGAAGAAGGGTCACTGGACTCAAAGTGTTAACTCAGTTTTCTCCCCACGGACGCAATCTGACCTGCTGAGATTTTCCAGCTCTTCTTGTTTTTGTCTCACATTTCCAGCATCCACAGTTGTTTGCTTTATTTGAGAATGGAAAGATGACAGGGTAGTTTTGTTAGTATAGGATGGAATAAGTACAATAGCAAAAAATGATCTTGGAAATGAAGATGGGGAATCCATATGGGTCAAGGCAACAAGTAACAAGAAGATGATGTTGGTGGAAGTAGTCTATAGCTCCCCAAACAGTAGTTATACAGTGGGACAGCGAGAAAAAAAAACAGGAGATAACAAGGGCATATAAAGATAGCAATACATTAATTAGGGGTGACTTTGATCTTCATACAAATTGAGAAAGTCAGATTGGCCACAAGAAAGAAATCAGAGTGTATTCAGGATAACTTCTAAAACAATGTGTTGTGGATCCAAACAGGGATTCAAGCTTTGGTTCTGGTGAACTAATGAGACAGGTTTAATAAGTGATCTCAGTGAATCAATGATCATAACACAATAGAATTTCTCATTCAGTTTGACAGGGAGCAATCTCGGTCAGAAACAACACGGCTAAACTTAAATAAGGGTATTTACAAAAGAATGAGGGGAAAGCTAGCTAGAGTGGACTGGGAAAGAGTTTAGCAGCAAGCTGGATAATTAAGGAACAATGGCAGACATTTAAGAAAATGGTCCAAAGCTCAAAACAAAAGTATATTCCAGTAAAAAAGAAAAGATTCTAGGAGAGGAATAAGACAACCAGAATTTCTCAGGGAAGTTAAAGATAGTATCAAAAAAAAGCATAAAATAAGGCAAAGATTAGTGGTAAGCCAGGGAATTGAGAAAGTTTTAAAACCAACAAAAGTTTTAAAAACCAAAACCAACCAATAAATAAATAAAAACGGGTAAAGATATACTTTGAGGGTGAATTTGCAAGTAAAATCAAAATGGACAGCAAGAGCCTCATTAAATATCTAAAAAGAAAGAGAAATGCAAAAGTGAACATGGCGCCTTAGAGAATAAGGTTGGGGAAATAATAATGGGGAACCAAGAAATGGCAGAGGAGTGGAATAAATACAACAGTCTTCACAGTAGAAGTCACTAACAGCATTCCAAAAATATTAAATAACGAAAGGATGAAAGGAAGAGAGGAAATAAATACAGTAACTATTACTAGAGAAAAACGTACTAAGGAAACTAATGGCGCTGAAGTCCCTTGGACTTGATGAGATGCATCCTTGGAAATTAGAAGTTGTTACAAAGAAGGTGAATGCACTGGTAAAAATCTTCCAAGAATAGTTAAATTCTGGATAATTCCCAGAGGACTGGACAACTGCTGATGTAACACCCTTATTTACAAAGGGAAGGAGACAAAAAATTGGGAACTATGGGCGAGTTAGCTTAACATCTGTTATTTGGAAAAAGTAATAGCAGAGCAGTTTTAGACAACATAAAACTAGGGAAGCAAGTGGTGAGGATGGTACAAAGAACCTCCAGAGGAATATAGACAGATTAAGAGAGTAAGCAAACATTTGGAAACATGTGAAGTTAGGCATTCAGGCAGGAAAAATAGAGAAGCTGAATTTTATTTAAATAGGGAAAGACTGCAGAAAGCTACAGCCTTCAGGGATTTGACAGGACTCATGCATAATCACAAGAAGTTAGCATTCAAGTTCAGCAGGTAATAGAGAAGGGAAATTGAATGTTGGCCTTTATTTCAAAGGGTATGGTTATAAAACTGGGAAGCCTTGTTAAAGCTACACAAAGCACTAGTTAGACCATGCCTGGAATCTGTGAACAGTTTTTGGCCCCTTGCCTAAGAAAAGATATACTGGCATTGGAGGCAGTGCAGACAAGGTCAGAAGGTTAATGTCAGGTATGGAGGGCTTTTCTTATGAGGAGAGATTGAGTAGGTTAGGCCTGTAGTCATTGGAGTTTAGAAGAACAAGAGGTGAACTTATTAAAACATGTAAGATTCTTAGGGAACTTGATAGGGTGGATGTAAAAAAGTTGTTTCCCCTATGGGAGAATCAATGACCAGAGGGCATAATCTCAGAACAAGAGTCACTCTCTTGGGACAGAGGTGAGGAGCAATTTCTTCCATGTAAGGGAAGTGAATCTGTGGAATTCTTTACCATTGAGGACTGTTCAGGCTGTGTTGTTAAGTATATTTAAGGCTGAGATAGAAGATTTTTAACTTGTAACAGAATTGAGGGTTACAGGGAAAAGGCAGAAAAGTGGAATCTGATCAGTGATGATCTCATTGTGTGGCAGAGCAGACTTGATAGACTGAATGGCCTGTCTTGCTCCTACGTCTTAATCTCTGTGCCTCACATTATAAAGGCAGTGTGAGGAATCACAGTCAGGCCCAGGAGTGCTGGATATAGACAGGATAACCACATAATCAGCCAGATCGACAAACAATGCTGAATTTTGCCGGAAATCTGTTCAAAAGAGCTGACTTCACAATCCTTGCCTTGCACGAGGCTGTCAGGAAAACATCTGAGGAAATATTTAACTAACATCACATACCAGCTGCCTCAGCCTGATAGGGCACATTCCTGCCCAACTGTCTCAGCACTTGTCTCTGTGCTCACCATAGACGGTGCAATGGTTATGAAGTTACTCATTATCCAAAGTATTAAAAGATACCGCAGGAAGCTTTTCATGGATGCCAAGAATCTGGGGTAACTATCCTGGGTTGTGCTAATTCTAGGGCTGCTTCTCAAAGCACCTGCTTGTGGCAAAGAGGTAAAAACAAGAAAACAGAAGAATCCACACTATTTCCAAGGAGAGCAGCTTGGAACCTCCTCCTCTGCATTAACAGATTTGCTATGAGAAGGGTTTTGATTTATTTCAGAATTCATTAAGTGACCGCAAATCTTCTCCTCCCCTTAAGGCAAGGCTGTGAGTGGTTGCTTGAGACTGGCCCGTCCAGTTTTAGGATTGTGGGATGGGCTGATTAGCTGGTATCCTCCTCCTTCTCCCAGCCCTCTCACATTATCGAGCAGGGAGCTGTGCCTTCCTCACAGCGGTTTCTGGATGACTGGAAGCTGCAGCCAGTGTTTAAGTTCTGTTCACACCCAGCTTCCTTCCTTCGTTGCAAATCTCATCCAGCCAAGGCAGTGCATTGGAATGCCTCCAGTTTAAACATCTGAGGATATTGTCAGCAGACATGGTTGTATTGTGAGGGGAGGATTGGAAACTGAAGCAGAGAGCCACCGAAACGTTTTGAAGCTGCTGCCTGAGAGATGATGTTTGGGAGAAATGGCATCTTCGGAGCAGGAGGTTCCTGGAAAAAAGGTAGGAAGCAGAAGAGCTTTCTATGTAGTGGTGCTTTAGTGGGATTTACTGTAATGGAGCCAGTCTGCCAGTTAAAGCAGGCTGTGCTCACTGCCTTTTAAAGCTGCCCAGGAATGTGACCTGTCCTCCCCACTATCCTCAGAAACTTTACTCAGGAGGGGCTACTTTGTGAGCTGGACTGACCTCTCTGATTGAACCCTATTTGTAAAGGAGTCCACCAGCCCTCTCTTAACTAATCAGAGTCCTTCCCCTGTTGAATGTACCACAGTTCCAATGTGCATAACCTTTACACATGACACCCCACTGCTAGATGTTTACCCACTCACTCAACACATATCACATCTGTACCTATAATTTTTAAATATTATTTCTTCATCGAATGTGGGCTTTACTAGCTTGGCCAACATTTATTGCTGATCTTCAACTGCTATGGAGTAGGTGAGCTGACTTCTTGAACTGCTGTCGTCCCTGGGGTTTAGGGACACTCACAGTATGAAGTTGAAGTGTGTTTTGTTGCAATTATTATTTGCTTTTAAGTGTGAAACTTTCCCCTCAGTTTTCAGCACCTGACCTGGTCCATGAGGAAAAGAACCATCCCAGAGATTTTTGATCCTGATAGTATTTGATCAGATGATGAATCAAAGCTTACTTTTTAGCACTGCTGACTCCTGGGTTTATACAGCATTAACGGCTAACAGTACATTCGTGTTAAGATCAAACTTCGAGCATGTTATAGTCCTGGATTGTCCAATTAACAGGCTACTTTTCAATTCTTACCTGCCCTGGCTTTTGCTTTCTCTCTCTCTCTCTCACTCTGTCTCCAGATTCATAGGTGCAGTCATGATTTTAACATTGATAGACTGTGCTGCCATCTATATCAGACAGGGCAATGTTGGATTGACCATGCAGCTAATCTCAGAATTCATTGATCCCCGAGTCCCAACAGAAGAGAAGACAGCTTGGAATGGGAGTTACAGATTGATCAAACATTTCCTGCTGAATGAGCCAAGGATTGATTATCTGGGATGCTTCTAAAATGACTGTATCGAAAGTTGGTTTCAGAGGTGAACTTACTTACAAAGAGTTGATTTGATACAATAATATTCCCTTCTCTGGCCCCTGAGCTTTTTAGACCAAATAACAGCAATATAAACTAACTATGTCTGTCCTTAAATGTGTAAAAAATCAGTGAGGTTTCACGTAAGAGTTGTTCCCAACTCTTGAGCACAGAGGTGAAATATGAATTGCAAATGGATTAAGGGGAAGAAGAATGACGGTACTGACTGGGGATTAGTTCTCAGGATGTGATGAGCAAGTGTGGCTTGGGGAATATGTACTTATTGCCAGCTTTTATCTAAGCAAGTTCAAGTGAAAGGATAAAGATGCAAAATTGAGGTCTGTATCATGTTGATGATTCGGGTGTCATGGGAATCATGGATGAGGCAAAACACGATTTGGGGGCCACTCCCAGCACAACCCTCATTACCCACCGTGTTGTGAAGGATGATAGCTCAGTCACTGCCCTCTCACCCCTGCACTGGAAACCAGCACAAGAGGTAGATGGTGGTCCAAGTCTAAGGAACAAGATTAGGCCATCCATTCAATACGATCATTGCTGATTATCCACTTTGATGTTTTTCTCCCCCCACACTGTCCCCATATCCCTTGATACCATTAATGACTAGAAATCTATCACTCTACTTTAAACATACTCAACACCTCAGCTTTCACAGCCATCTGGCTTAGAGACTTCCAAACATTCACAACCCACGAGTAACGAAATTTCTCCACATCCAAATTATACCCTGGGTTCCAGACTCCCCAACCAGAGGAACCATCTAACCAGTATCAATCCTATCTCTTTAGGTATTTTTTAAGTTTCTTTGAGAGCACCTCTCATTCTTCAAAGCTCTGGAGAATACAGGCCCAGTTTACTCAATCTCTCTTCATAGGACAGTCCCTCCAAACTGGGAACAAGTCTGGGGAACCTTTTCTGAACTCTTTCTTTGGCAATAAAACGTTTTGAAATAAGGAGACCAAAACTGCACACAGTATTCCAGGTGCGGACTAACCAGGCTCCTATACAATTGAAGCAAGACTTTGCTACTCCTGTACTCAAATCTTCTTCAATAAACATTCCATTTCCTTTAGATCTTATAGTATCTGCCCATTAGAGAAAGGGGGGGGGGGGGGGCGCGGTTGGTGATGTATCATATGTAACCAGGAATGATGGCACTGCCTATAGTCAAGAGATAGCATTGCCTGTACACAGGGAGGATAACACCGCCTGTAGCCAAGAGAGAGTGATAATGCCTGTAACTGAGAGGATGGCACTGCTTGTAGCCAAGGGACAATGATATTGCCTGTACATGAGGAGGATAGCAATGCCTACAGCCAAGGGAGGGTACTTGGCAATGCCTATAAGTGAGAAGGACTGTGCTGCTTGTAGCCAGGAGATTGGCACCACCTGCAGCTGAGGAGGACAACAATGCCTGTAACTGAGGGAAGATGGTACTGTCTGTAATGGAGGAGAACAGCACTGCCTCTAGTTGAGGAGGGGACCACCTCCTGTAGCCAAGAGATTGGTGCTGCCTGTAGCTGAGGGAAGATGGTGCTGTCTGTAGCTGAGGCAAGATGGTACTGCCTGTAGCTGAGGAGGACAGCGCTGTCTGTAGCCAAGGGGGACTTACACCACCTGTAGCCAGGGTAGAGGGCACTGCCTGAGTCTGTCACAGTGACTATGGATTTTTCTAAACTAGAACAAACAACAATTGTTTATTGATTGGTGTATTTGGGAGATCCCAGAGGCACTGAACACTAGGACAGGCCCAGGAGTGAAAAGGATGACCTTGACCTTTTCCATTCTGAGGAAGTCTTGGGGGTAATCAGGGGGTTATGGACTTTCCTGTCTGGATCTTTCTGTTTAAATCCCCCTGACCCCCTAGCCCCCACCATAGACGATCAAACTTTACCAAAAGGACCCGTAAAGCAGCAAGGAAAGGTGGGAAAGGGCTGGTGGTCACCCTTCAACTTCAAATGTCATTTTTACCAGCAGCTGGGAAGCTGGCAGTATTTCCTCCTCTCCATTAGTTGCATAAGTTGCCAATCATAGTCCTCCTTCTGTGAGTGCTAACATTATTGTTGGCAGAGGGAAGACTGTCTGGGGAACACTGGGAGCCCCATTACCCCGTTCAGGCCAGGGGATGAGGCCCGCTCAACTGAGCACTCTGTGGCAGGCAGCTAACCCTCGCTCCCTCCCTCAATAGCCCTCACCCAGGCCTGTCTGACTGACTCCAGCACCCCCCAAAACACCAGATCATATTAGCTGTGTGGAGTGGTTCCACGGTGACCACAGATGCAGTCCCGGCTATGGCCACTGCTCCAGGAAACAGCCCTCCAATTGGCCATGGGGTGGGGTGGGGGGCCATTGAACATTGTTAACCAGGCTGGCAGAATCAAGAATTGTGATGGCGCAGAAGGAGGCCATTCAGTCCATTGTGCATGCACTGGTTCTATTACCCAGAGCCAGTTTTTTTTAAATTCACTCATGGGATGTGGGCATTGATGGCTGGCCAGCATTTATTGCCCACCCCCAGTTGCCTTTGAACTGAGTAGCTTTGTAGGCCATTTCAGAGGGCAGTTGAGAGTCACCACATTGCTGTTGATGTGGAGTCACATGTAGGCCAGACCAGGTAAGGATGGCAGTTTCCTTCCCTAAAGGACATTAGTGAACCAGATGGGTTTTTCTGACAACCAACAATGGTTTCATGGTCATCAGTACATTCTTAATTCCAGTTTACAATTGAATTCAAATTCCACTTTTAGAATACTGAGTTCAAGCATGGACAAATTGGACCGAAGGGTCTGTTTCTGTGCTGTAAAACTCCATGAATGGCCAGCAGTGGGTTTGAGTTTTGATAGCTTTGTGTGAGCTGAGTACGTTTGAAGTTGATGACCCTGTGGCTTTTGTGTTTCTAGTGGTGAGACAGGAGTCGTGCAAGAAGAAGGTGGTTCTGACCAAAGTGACCCCCCTCCAGAATGGCTCACAGAGTGAGGACACCCTGTCACATCCAGTCCCAGCCAAGACAGGAAATCCTGAGACCAACCCAGCTGAGGAAGCAGAACGATTGAAGTCTGGATTCCAGAGCTCCTTCTCAGAGTGTGCTACAGTCGCCGAGCCGTCCAACTGCTCCATCCTGAAACTCTATAAATCAGAATCTGAGGACTCGGGGGTTGAACTGCCCAGCGGCACGAACTCTCCATCTACCCCCTCGGGATCTGAACAGAGCTTTGTCGTGCATCGGAGGGAGTCGTCCTGTGACTCTGGGATGGCTTTGAGCATTGTGTCCTCGTCCCCGGGAGTTCAGCATTGTCCATTCACAGCTGACCGTCACAACCCCGACCAGTGTTCAAAAGAAGACTCAAGGCCCAGGGATGCTCCAGTGAAAGTCAAGAAACTACCCACGGCCACTGCGAATTGGAAAAAGACCAACAACCCCAGCAGAAACACGAATCAGAGTCCGACCGTTATAAATGAGGAAGTGACCCAGCCCAGGCATGTCTCGCTTGTTGAAATCGTCATTGCGGACACCAATTCAGCAAAACTGAACGGAGCAGGAAAACATGTAAGTGAAACCCCATTCAATCAAGAGACACTGAAAAGACGACCATCAAGCGACAGTCTGAACGACTACATGGAGGAATGCTGCAGGCTAAGTCAGGTGAGACAGGTCTTTGTTATTCTGACGTTTCCTCAAGGTTCATAATGTTTGGTTTCAGGAAGACCCGAACTGGACGTTAGGAAGTTTTACAAGGTTTTCAAAGTGAATTTGGTTTCATCGCTGAAAAGCACCAAGAAAGGGAGGAAACCAAGAGGCTGTGATACCATGGATTCAAACTTTGAAACCAAAACATATTTAGCGGGTGGGGAGCAGGCACAGAACAGTTGAAGGATGAGGCAGATGAGGTGGGTTTATAACAAGAAACGTTATTTCAGGCGAGAGCTATTACAGATGGATGTTACAGGTAAGGTCAGACATGTAGAGGGCAAAGGCAGTGCATCAGGCAGTTGGTGATATAACAGGCAGGGCGAGTATGGAGCAAAGTGCATAACAGATGAGGAGTATAACAGATGAAGAGGTAAGACAAGTGAGGAGTGTGAACAGGTGGGGACAATATTAGGATTGGAATGTAACAAGTAGGTGACATTACTGACAAGGAGCATAGCAGTTGACGTATATAATAGACAAGGGATTTAGCAACCAAAAGATATCACAGAAAATGGGGGTTTAACAGGCAGGGAGTGTAAAGGTGTGGTTGTTGATAAGGAGCTACAATAGACAGGGAATATCATAATGGGGAGAATAGGTAAGGAGGGGTAGAACAGGCAAGTATTTAAAAGGTGAGTTATATTACTTGAAAGGGCCATAACATGGGAATGTAACATGTTTGGGTTATAATGGAGGCTACAATAGATGTGGGTGGTATAACAAGTGAGTATGTAACAGGTGTATTGTTTAACAAGATACCCCTTTCTTTACTTAACTTGTATGTTGGTTAATTTTGGACGATATTATTGTTTCTAGAAATTTTGTAACATGGATGATAAACTGACCTGTAGTTGCTCAGCTTATCTTTATCCTTTTTTTCGGTAAAAGGATGTAAGGATATTCCTTCCCCTTCCTTGTCAGCATTCCGCAGGAACCATTCCCTCTGGGACATTGTGGTTCCCTCCTCCTTCTCTCCCAACACCTTCCCACAGCATCTTCACATGCAACCGCAGATGGTGTAGTAACTGGAAGGCTGACGTTTTGGGCCTAGACCCTTCAGCAGAAATGGGGGAGGGGAAGGGGGTTCTGAAATAAATAGGGAGAGAGGGGGAGGCGGATAGAAGATGGATAGAGGAGAAGATAGGTGGAGAGGAAACAGACAGGTCAAAGAGGCGGGGATGGAGTCAGTAAAGGTGAGTGTAGGTGGGGAGGTAGGGAGGAGATAGGACAGTCCAGGGAGGACGGACATGTCAAGGGGGCGGGATGAGGTTAGTAGGTAGGAAATGGGGGTGCGGCTTGAAGTGGGAGGAGGGGATAGGTGGGAGGAAGGACAGGTTAGGGAGGCAGGGACGAGCTGGGCTGGTTTTGGGATGCGGTGGGGGAGGGGAGATTTTGAAGCTTGTGAAATCCACATTGATACCATTGGGCTGCAGGGTTCCCAAGTGGAATATGAGTTGCTGTACCTGCAACCTTCGGGTGGCATCGTTGTGGCACTGCAGGAGGCCCAGGATGGACATGTCGTCTGAGGAATGGGAGGGGGAGTTGAAATGGTTCGCGACTGGGAGGTGCAGTTGTTTATTGCGAACCGAGCGTAGGTGTTCTGCAAAG